ATTGATTTTGTTTTAAATTTGGTCATTCAGTTAAATATCCATTTAATAAACATTAAATTTAATGATAATAATGTAAAAATTAAATTCATAAATTTAATACATTGTGTCCATTATTAGTGGGAATGTAAAGAACCAAAGTTTTACATTATTAGCCTTAAATTTAATATAATGTTTATTAAATGGATATTTAACTAGAAGACCAAATTTGGTAAAAAAAAAATCGATAGTCAAAGGATCATTTATGATAAAATTGAAAGTTGATGATGAAAATTGGTAAAGACCAATAGTCAATGGACTATTTATGGTCCTATTGAAAGTCGGTGATAAAAATTGGTAAATATCATAGTCAGGGACCATTCCTGGAATGAACTCTATTGTGGATCAAGGTTTATTATGAGCATTGTAAACCATGGTTCAAATTATGTTATTGGGCAACTGCTTGGAGGCTTGTGTCCAGCATTTTGCCATCTAAACGTGGCGGTTGATTGCTACACAGACAAGTATAAGAAAATAGGGTCTATCACGATCATTGTGAATAATGCTAGTCCATATTATGTTGTTGGGTGGTGGTTTGGAATGCCAAATCCAGCATCATATCATCAAAACGTAGCACTGACTGCTACGCCCGCATGTAAGTATAAGCAAATAAAGTTCCTGACATATGTAACAGATACATTCAGTTACAACTGAATATACATAATCTGTTAACTGGAAGTATATAATATGGATCAAGAGTTTACAATATTGTGAATGGTGGACTTTGGCTAGTTATGAAGTAACACAGTTTTATTTCATTATACTGACCTAATAACAATGTCACATTTTAATAACGAGATGCTAAACTTGACCTTCCAGGCCTCTCTCCCAATCCAACCAACTTAACCAAACAAGGAAACTTCTAGGAATTCCCTGAGCTAGCTGGTTAATTAGTGACTTACATGCAAGAAGTCCAGCTAGCTAGCCCACCATCATATCATTTTCCCAAGGGTGTCTGTAAATTGTAAAGATGATCGGATCGGATCGATAGATACTCTTTGACAAATGATACAATAATCAGATGATTCTGGAGGTCCTACACAAGAAGAAGATGCTAAAGAGGTCCCCATCCTACAACATATATGCATATTACTGTTCTCTCTCTCTCTCTATATATATGTATGTGTGTCTACATACTGTGCTTTCTATGTATCATTTTTCTGCTCTCATCTCGATCTCAACCATTATATTTTCAATGGGCTCATCATCATTCTACTGGATTATGTGTTTCTTATTAAATTATATATTTATATCACATTATTCCTTCAACTTCAAAATCACAATTATAATTTACAATGTTATATGTGTCAGCTTGAGCTGGACACACAGCTAGCTAGAATAGTAGTTTTCATCTATTCCATACTAATCAATAGTGTTTAAGGTGTCCAATTATGCCCACTAAGTAAACAACTCTATATTAAGATGTGGTTTGTTACTTCCCCACCACTTAAAACATAACAATTAATTAAATTTTCTGAAAGGTTATTTCAAAATATTTGATTTATCTAAACATTCCTGAAGAAAATATTTCAAAAAACAAAAAATAATAATATGATAAATTTGACACATTTCTTTTATAGGAAAAAATTAAAGAATTTGGTCAAAATAAGTTCATATATATGTTTTGCTTTTTAGCACCCGCATGATGTATGGTTCAAATCCTACCAAGAAAATAAATATGAGGTATGAATTTGGTCTGTTGTAAGCATTAGTCTACAAATATTTGGGAGCTTGTAAGCCAATTGAGACATATCCTGTTATTTACCTCCTTCACTTAAGTTTAGGGTTTAAACTTATAAAAAAGAATTTGATCACCCTTAAATTACAATAACTTTCCAACTTTTTACGGAATCATATTTCTAATTTATCCAAACTATCTCATCTCAAAACACGCACTAAACATGACAATTATATTTCATACCGTTTAAATTATTAAGAAAATTTAAACTTTACTAGCTACAAAACAACATCATTTGACTATTCACAAATAGATCAATAATGATAAATATTAAAGATTGAGCCATTTAATTTATCCACATTGCAAATTAAAGTGCAAAATTTTGAATTTTTTTAATTGGAGTACCTAGTTAGACCTAGAAATTTTAAATTTAAATAAAGCTCTAGAGGACCAAATAGGAAAATTAGGGCAATCTATGCATCACTTTAATGATGATTAATTCTCTATTCCTTAAAAAAATGTTGTAACTATATATGCCCATCACATGGGTAGATATATAAATTATTTATTTATTTCTCTCCCTATATATGTCTTTTCCAAAACTAATTAGTGGTAGGGTCTTTGATGCATAAAATTTCAAAATGCAAGTTGGGTAGGAATTGATGTCTCTTTGAGACAGATTTTTGAGAAGTACAACCAGATATTACATAGGACCACATCAAACGAAAGTGAAGTGCCAGTCTCTATTAAAGATTGATTACTGTTTGACCACACCATTGTTTATATTCCCATCCTTAAAAATTATATATTTTTATCATTAATAAACAATAATTAATTGTATTAATCATTTCCTAGGAATAGCTTATTAGCTTGTCCCCATGGTTAATGTTGTCTAATAGAGTTTCTAGCTTTCATGTTTCTTTGCACTCAACATTATGATTAACAATTTAAGGTTGCAAATTAATTACATTAAATTAATAATATAACCAATTCTTGTGTCCCATGTTGGTTTCTTTTTAGATTATTGAATATACTATATATTATATTGATAAGTGTCTCAAATTGCCATCATTTGGCATTCTTCAAGTTGTTAAGGAGGTGTCTCATCAACCAAATTACTATATATTTTATTACTTTATCATGATTTTTTAACCTCTAAAAAATTATTATATTTAATTAAGAAATTGATCTTTTCCCCTCCAAACTTTCTTTTCATGATGTGGTTCAAGTCATTGGGTATCCATAAATTGGCTGGCCTTACCACTAATTAAAAAGTAAATTTAGTTACTAATAAGATGATGTCTCATCAGGAGGAAAGTGTGTAGGGAAATATAGGCAATGAATGATATGTAGCATTACTAATTTAGTTATAAAGGCATGTTTTTTTTTTTTTGGTTAGATACGGAAGGAAAGAAAATCAAAATACAAAAATCTTGATTGAGTCATGTAAATACAATCAGATGCAAGTAGATACTTATGCCCTCTAGAGAATTGTCAAACTCATGAAATCCAAATCATATTTGGTTACAACGATTATGAGAAAGGATTGAGTATTCAATAATAGTAAACAATATGATATTTAAAAATTTTTGTTATCATTTTATACTATAACAAGAATCTTTATTCTAAATCGAGCAAGCAATGCTTGAATGAATCTAAAAACATTTAACAAGGAAATAATTATAAATGAATCAATTTTGATATATAATTTTTTTTTTCTATATTTGTGGGTTTTGTCTCATATATTCCTAAGGAAAACAAGTGAGAGGAAGGATATGATCATACACAACTGCACACACAACATTTATATAGGACAAAATTTAAGGTTGGTGAAATTAAGAAACTCATCAATTGATTCTATATATATATATATATGCATAATATATCTATCTAGAATATAATTCATGTATGTATATATGTATTTATATGTACTTACCTTCCAAAATGAAGCGTGCAAGCAAAAAAACATGCAACTAAATTCCCATGATGACAACAATAGCAAATGAGAGAGTGAAGAGTGAAGATAGAGGACATCTTTGTGGGAACCGTCCTAAAAAGTTATGGTGCCAACCACTACTAATGAAAGGTCAAATGCATATGGGCAAAACCTTATCTCTCTCTCATCAACATGTTCTTTCATTCCCAACACATGACATATTGATATCTAATGCCAAGAAAGGGAAGAACAGAAAATCTTTTGCCCTTTAACATAAAGAGTTAGAGACAAGATGGAGAGAAGCAAACAAGAAATGGGAGAGAGGGGAGAAGTTTTAATTAAACTCTTGGTGAAAGGGGAAGAAATAAAATTTAGAAGAGTGGGAGTGGGGGAAGGTAGAAAGGAAAGAAAGTGAAATTATGGGGGAAAAGGAGAAATATAATGTCAATTATTGCAGGAAAAAAAATCTGTATAACGTATCATAATTTTATTTTTTATTTTTCCTTAGGGACTGAGTTGTCAGTTTGGTCTTGTTGACTTTGTTGTGTAGTGATTAAGGGGTGTATAGTAAATAACTGATGGGGCCTTTGGCCCTTCCCCCTACCAAAAAAAAAGTAAATAACTGTTAACTATTGCGCTGAGTTTGACTAGTTGGTAGCATTAGCTGATTGTAAAAAGATGATTGGTAAATTAATTGTTAGCTGATTACATGAAAAATGATGATTTTTTTTTAAAAAATTGATCGTAAAAGCTGCTTTGATCCGTTTTTTGAATTTTAACGTTTTGGAACAATAAACTGTTACAAAAAGCTAATTAATCAAACACTTATATTGACTGTTTAACCAATTTAAACAATTAACAGTGGTCAAATTAAGTCAAAATTTGCGGATAAACTAACTATTTTACCAAACAAGCGGGCCTAACTGTTCTGATCTGATGAGTTCTGAAAGAAGTGGCCTGTAAATGTTGTTGTGATTGATGCATATATGTGATGCGGTAGGTCATGCAATTAGCCATAGCATTGATATGAAACCACAAAATTAAGGATCGCAATCTAATCGGGTGTGTGGGATTGAATCGCATCTCTCCCTACCTCCATTAAATCTCTTTCATTCTATCAATTCATCCCCAAAATGAATAATAGTGCAATAGTACAGCAGGTTGAATAATGAAAAGGGGGGTGGGGAGGGGAGATGGTAAAGAAAGCAAGTCAACGCTTCACCAAAAAAAAAAAAAAAAAAAAAAAAAGAGATGACGTCAGCTTCCACGTCACCTTCCAGCATGTCCAAACCCTTTAAAATGAGCATCACATGCCAATTCGCCTTAACCAAATTTCCCATTCCTTTCCATTCCAATCCAATTCTCTCATTCACTCTTTCTTTTAAAGTTTTCTCCAATAAAGAATTATTTCCAAATTTCAAAAACACACCATGTACGGCTACACTTATACTAACGATATCCATTACGGCGGCTACTCTACCCAATACTACGGCGGCGCCAACGTCCCGTTGCCGCCAATGGTGGTGCCGCCGGAAGCTCTGGCATCCCTGCCGCTGCCGCCGCCCCTGGTGATCCCCGGCAGCGACTACGACTCGCTGTCGCCGCTGAAGTCGGAGATTAATGGCTACAGCAGCAGCGAATACAGCAGCTACGGCTCCCCCAGCTCCGCCACCAGCTACGGCGGCATAACCAACTTCCAGAGAAGCATCAGCAGCCACTCGCTCCAGAAGAACACCGACGGATATTACCCGTCGCCCACCGGATTTCTCGACCTGGATTGCAGTCCGGTGAGAAAAGTTTTCAGCACAGGCGATCTACCTGTGAGTTCGCACATTCAGATAGCAACTGTAAACTTTCTTATAAATAAAAAAATAATGATAATAATGCATGTTCAGATAGTGACTGTGAATTTTGTTATAAATAAAAATAATAATGATAATATGTTGTTATGGTAGGGAATAAACTTGGCGCAACGTAACCATAGGTCAGAGAGTCCACTAGCCAGTGAAAGCAATAGCATAATAGAAGGAATGAACAAAGCGTGCCGGTATAGTCCGGAGGAGAAGAAGGAGAGGATCGAGAGGTATCGGAATAAGAGAAACTTACGCAACTTCACTAAGAAGATCAAGGTATGTGTAACAATATATGGCAGACACGCACTTACGTTTACGATGTTATATATATGTCTCTTTCTATTTTTGACATGTTGATAAGGATCTTATCTTTCAAATTAGTTGTTAATTGACCAGTTTCATCGAGAGTTCACTGTATAACTGTATTGTTACAAGTTGCATTTAGTGTACAGTCAATGGTCATTCAAAGTACAGTCATTTGTGTTGACTCTTATAGTATCTTCAACACATGCAAGCACGTAGCAACAGCATCATGAGACTTGAGAAGTTTAATTTGCAACACATACATTATTCCTTAATGCTTTCCAGGGCCCACAAGAGTCTCCATCCCTCTACCTATACACTATTCATTACTGTTCACCGATTGATCAATTTAAAATATAATTAATTGAGACATAACTCTGCCGCATAACAGTAATGTAGAGTTTGATTCTTACTAAAGGGGTATCAAGGGTGCAATCTTATCTGTTATTACTTTAATTGTTATGTTTGGATAATTTGACGGGTAAAACTCACATTTGTGTGAATCTGCAGTATGAGTGCAGGAAAACCTTAGCAGATAGCAGGCCACGCATCCGAGGAAGGTTTGCCAGGAATGATGAGTCGTGTGAGAGGACACCTCAAAGTGAATGGAACATGATTCGGGCCGGTTTAATGGAGGAAGATGATGATGGGGACATGGATGATGAAGCTTGGATCAATTTGCAGATGATTGATGGATTTAATTTCCAGCAAATCTAATCTCCAGTGGGAGATATGATGATGATCAAGCTAAGTTTAGTATCATTAGATATTTGCAGTTTAATTTTCTAGTTCATTAAAAAAAAAAGAAGGAAAAAGAACATTAAAGATCTGATGATACTAATTAAGGTAGTTTAATTATTAATTAGTGTGAGTTGTTGGTATAGAAGTCAAGTTTTAGGATAGTTTCCTAAAGAAGATGAAGAAGAAGAAGAGCTTCCTAAGTTTTTAGTGTTAAGGAGCTCATGATGATGATGATGTTGTAATTCTTGTTTAATTTACATGTTTCTAATGGTGCATTATTATTGTAAGAGTCATTTTTAAGGTTGTAAGTATAAGTTGCTCATGTACAATTGTTTTATTTTATAGCATTATGATTTTTTTTTTTTATATTATTATAAGAGTAGGGGATACCCACATATACAAGCTACTAGCCTACTACATCAAATGTCATCATAATCGCCTCCACCGAGCTCGAACCCACCACCTTCCACATAAGAAAGCACTTGGTACCATTGGACCACAAGGTCCTTGTCTATTGCATTATGATTTGAGCTACTCTGGCTTATTTATAATTTTTTTAATGACGAGAGGAACTCGCAATTATTATTTAAGGATGTGAATATATAATCCCGCTCCTGTGGGATTATTTATGTTTTAGGCTTGCTTTCATTGAAAACTATTTTTATAATCCATATTATTATTAATCTTATTATTTTATTGATGAGATACTAAGATGGAGAAAAGTTACACTTTAAAGTGCAAGGGTTTCTTTAAAAGTGCACTTTGAAATTAAATATTTATCTCAAAGAAGGTTTTTAATAATAATTGACAGAGTAATGGGTCAAATACTCGACCCGGACCACCAGTGAACACCTGACCCGTAACATTCAAGAGTCTAATGGGTAGAAGCCTAACAGACAAAATGATTACTATGGACCATTTACTATGCTCATTCAAGACAGATAAATAATTGCTCAGCTCCTCATTATACTGTAACTGTTACTTACTGTTGGGGGACTTAGTATAAGTAGGAGGTTCATAGCTGAGCAGAGGTACGTTCTAATTCTGTACTGAAGTACATATCAATACAATTGCAATACAACTTGTTACTCCTTGATTATATTTCAGGTAACATATTTACCGTCATTGGTGCTTTCGTTGAGAGCTTGAGCTCAACTCTCAAGCAGGCGAATACATACATCTTTCCCTTTCAGCAACAAGCTTGAAGTAATGGCACGCTCAAGATCCAGCTCCCACGGTGCCCACGGTTCCCGCAACTTGAACAACGACAACACCTCAGGTGATCTTCGAGACCAACTCAATAACAACCGTGGATGGGACCTCCGAGAACAACTCAATGGCGGAAGAGTAGTGGACCTCCGAGAACAACTCAACAATGGAACAACAGGGGAATCCGTCCAAATCATGAGCCTCCAGGCAACCGTCGAAGCCATCTGGCAAGCGGCGACAACACTAACTCAGGCAGTGGCGGGATTGCAAGGCCAAGTGCCCCAGCCACGGCTGTAACACCCCGAAATTTTAAAAACTTTTAAAGACTACATAACAAAGGTAAATGATCATAAATCCAAAAACGTTTATAAGAATACGGGGTGTTATGCCACACGCGAGCTAGAGAACTCAGTTGCACAGGCTAAATTCTAAAACCCTCAATCAGTATGAATACAAAATCATGGCACGCAGGCCGAAAGGGAAGACTATCTAATCTACGCCCCAAACCTCTAGCGCGCTCCAGTGATCTACTCGTCTGTGCCTGAAAGCCAAATATATCTGTTCAGCGAGAGATGCTGGTAACCCACTCCAACGCGTTGAAATACAATACATATAGATATATACATAGATATACGAAAACCATTTCAAAGCATGAAGATATATCCTAAGAGACTCTAGCTTTCAAACAGGGAATAGACTCGACAGATAGGGATAAGCACAACCAACAGTCATAACCAAGCATGCACAATTCACATGTGTAGGGAACAGGTATGACAGATAGAGATAAGCACAGCCAATAGTCATAAACAAGCATATATAGTTACTAGCATGTATCCTATGGTCACGCTCTCATAACAATCCAATCATCCATATCTCATCACATAGCACACTTTGTTGGCGCCACAGGACCAATCGCATGCCCATACATGAGGGTCAGCGCATATAGCTCTGACACGGCCCCGCAGCACCCTGCCCCGTATCGCAACACGGAGGGGTCGATCGCAACCGACCGATGAACCGCAGCTCATCATAATGTTTGATCGCAACCAAACAGTGGACCGCAGCCCAAGAGTAGTCATCTGACCGTAGCCAGGAATATGAACTGCAGCTCATGTAAAACGTTTGATCGCAACCAAACGGTGGACCGCAGCCCGAGAGAGTGTAAATCTGACCGTAGCCAGCTTTTGAATCGCAGCTCAGGAATAACCAATTCGATCGCAACCGAATTGGGGTATCATGCACACATAACACATAACAAGTACATGCAACCCACATTGACACATTGGGAAGGGGGAGAAATCGTATAACGAAACCTATGCGTGATCATCCACATACTAAGAATATTCCTAAGGGGTTCATACTTCTTACACCTAGGCCAACGGGATACCAATTCAACTAGCATGCAATATATAAGACTTATTCCACCTACGAATGGTACCCGAACATCAAACTAGACTTAGGCACGATAGACGGAGTCCGTTGGGACACCCCGGGGGTCGGGGGAACATCAAACAGGGAAGTCGGAATCCCAAAGTGGGGTAAAATCCAGCGGATCGCCGGTGGGTGAGGGGTCACCCGCCGGCTGCCCGCCGGCGTCGTGGTCCCGGGCAGCGGGTGCCCGGCGGGCAGTCGCCTGCCCGCCGGCGTCGTGGTCCCGGGCAGCGGGTGCCCGGCGGGCAGTCGCCTGCCCGCCGGCTGCCCGCTGCCAGCGACTTCAAAGTTGGCCGCGTGTAGGTGGCGGGTCCCCTACCCCTACCTACCCCCCACTGACTCTTTCATCACAAAACGCCCCGGGAACCTGAGTGGAACCCGGAACCATGCTTAGACACTTTCAAACGCAATTGATAACAACACGTAGATAATTAACGGGTCAAAAGCAGGAAACATACGGCACATATCCTATTATACTTTTCTAAACATAATTAATACCCGAACATGCGAATTCCCACCCAATACATCAAGAATAACACCATACGAATTTCACGACACAGCCTAGGGCTCTAGACACATCTAATTTAATAAGAACACGATTCCTCTTTAAACATCAAGAACAATCAAGAATGGCACATAATCATCAAGAAACTAGGTTCCATCAAGAATCACACAATCATCAAGAATCCCTTTTCATCAACAAGATTATCAAGATCGCCCATGGAATCATAACACCAATCGTCAAGAACAATATAACGAATCATCAATACACAAGAATATGGGGAAATCCTAAGAGGGGAATCATAGCTATGAAAATAGGTTTTGTTGAGACATGGGTTACCTCTTAGCCTTAATTAATTCCTTGGCTATGAAGGGTCTTTCTTTAAGCTTTCTTCTTTCTTGATTTCTCCTAAGGGAATTCTTGGAACTTCTTGTGTGGTGAGAGATTATTGTGGTGGGGGTTCTAGGTGCCTCCTATGTCCCCTATTTATATATCTAAGAGTCCTATTTAGGGCCAAAATACTATAGGCTTGCTAACTCTATTCTTTTTAGGACTAGGGATTGGGTTTAGAGAAGAGGGCCCACTGACTATGGTGGGCCTTTTCCAATTTAATTATTGTAATTTCATTCTTTCTTTGGATAATTGGTTAAATGATTAATTGGTTTTAGGGGTTGTAACACGGGGTGTTACACTCTCCCCCCCCCCCCCCCCCTTACAAGGGGCTTCGTCCCCGAAGCCCAGTATGTTAATCCATTCTTTCACCCCTGGACATCCCGTATTTTGGCCTCCTGGTTAGGAACGTGGCCCCACATTTTGTCTTTGCTGGGGTAGACTGGACTTCTGGTGTCGTGGTGATAGGGAAGTTTGGGTCTGCCTTGGTTTTCTGCTCCGGAGCTGGATGCCCTGTGAGTGCCCAAGGTGGCCTCGATTGCTGCAACCCTCTGATCCAATGCGCGTGTCGTACGGATTAAGGACGAGAACCCTTCCTCCATGATTTGGTTTTGCCGATTGAGTTGTGCCAGGATGCGCTCATTGACCGAGCCCTCGTCTTGTTCGATTGGGTTCCCTCCTGATCGTGGGTGCGCCGATGGATTAGGCTCATCATCCTCCTCCTGATCCTTATTTCCCTCCAGACCCCCACAATCTTGCATTGCCCGTTTGAGCTTTTTGTTGGAGATGTCCAATTGGTCGACCAATTCTCTTCGCTCCTCCTCGGGTTTTAAGAAGATTTCTTCGAGGGTGAGGTATTGTCCCCCTCCAGTGTCGTAGATATCACTGCGGCGGAGGTTATGGGTGTTAAAGATCATGCCGTTTGCAGTCTTGACCTCAGTGTGGCTTAGGTCTACCCCCTTTTTCTCCATGATCCAACTTAGGATCATCCCGTAGGGCAGGCTAAGTCGGTTGCTCGTCTTGCAAAATTCCATGTGTTTTAGCATGAGAGCCGGTAGGTTGAACTTGATTTTGTGTTTCAAGAGGTAGGCAAAAGTGCACTCTAGACTCCCCACGTCTTTGCTCTTATTGTTTGTGGGCAAGAGGCTGTCAGTTACAATCATAACCAATATCTTTTGCTCCGCCGTTAGCCACTTCCTATTCGGTCGCATGGCCGAGGTGAACCCTTCCTCTTTTCCGAGTAGGTACCCGAGGTAGTCCTTGTACCCCGTATTTTGGGTATCAATCCACCCTTTTCGGTCGTAATTGGACACACCCGTGGTGGTCAATTTCAAGAGCTTGGCCAAGCGGCCTTCGGAGAGTATGATTTCCTTGCCTCGGACCTTGGTGGTGATTTCTAGTTTATCACCCCGTTTGGTGGCTACTAGATGTTGATAGAATTCTTTCACCAATTCGGGGTACGTATCCCCCTTGATGGTGAGGTACGTATCCAAAAGGCCTTGGTGATTAAGCATATCGACCAATTCCGGAGAAAATTGGTCGGGTTCAAGGGCTTTACCTCTTATTATGTGTAGCCGGCGTTGCTCCACTCCGGGGTACGGGTTCCGAGGGGCTTTTTCGGCATTTTGGGTAGATGGCACTTTTCCGGCGACTTTTCTGGCGGAACTCCGGTGCGCTTTCCGGTGGATTTTTTCGGCGGTGCGATTTTCTTCGTCGGCGAGGGAGGCGACGGTGGCTGGGTTTCGGCGTCGGCTTGGCGAGGGGGAGTGACGGTCTTGGGTGGCGTCGACCAGTGGTGGCAGCGG